CCCAATACTGTGAACCCAATCAAGAACCTTCTACTGTATTAGAGGAATACAGCGCTCGATTGTTGAGGCTTATAACACCAGTTCACTCGTATTGTTTTATTTCTCTCGTATTTATACCACCATCATTTAACTATGATTTTCCCTTTTACCCTTTAATACATATCCCCACAGATGTGTAATCCGGTCAAACACTTTTGACTGTCGGATTCTCAGTCCTTTTTCAAGTCCTGATACGCCCAGCTTCCAGGTTCGGTAAAACACCAGGAGTTACACCAACCACCCACACATTTCCCAGTATGAAAAACAACAAATCTTTCCCTGTGTCCTTATTTCTTCATCTAATATTCTAACCTGCCAGTCCAAGAATCACACGAGTAGGACTGCAGGACCAGAGGTATCTACGTACCACACGGATTGCAACTTGGATTTCTACAGACTAAGATTAACATAAATCCCTGCTCTATTCTAAACTGCCAGTCCACTGCATGCAAACGTGGGACCTCAGTCACCAGAGGTATCTACGTACCACACGGATTGTAACTTGGATTTCTACAGACTAAGAGTCGACCTCAGGGAACTCAAGTGAGCCCCGTCATTCCTTTTTAAACTCTTCATATATTTACCTAAGTCCCTAAACCTAAACCTAAACCTAAACCCCTACACTGTTCTAAACTGCCAGTCCACTGCATGCAAACGTGGGACTGCAGTTACCAGAGGTATCTACGTACCACACGGATTGCAACTTGGATTTCTACAGACTAAGAGTCGACCTCAGGGAACTCAAGTGAGCCCCGTCATTCCTTTTTAAACTCTTCATGTATTTACCTAAGTCCCTAAACCTAAATCCCTACACTATTCTAAACTGCCAGTCCACTGCATGCAAACGTGGGACTGCAGTTACCAGAGGTATCTACGTACCACACGGATTGCAACTTGGATTTCTACCGACTAAGATTATATATATTTTTACCTAAATCCCTAAACCTATGGACACTTATTCACTTTCCCTAACGTTGAATTCAGTGTGAGTATGTGCTTATACTTTACATGTGATCAACAGGAAATTTTCAAATTTAGTTTTTAAATTTAATGGTCTTATAACGACCTTATTCAGTCAATGGACAGAGACGAATTCTGCAGTTGACAACAAATCTTTTTAGAAGTATCCAATCACAGACATTTTATTCATTTAGAACAAAAGGTTGTCTGCTCACCTGATTCTGTTTTGCGCGCCTGTTGTCAATGCTGAACCACGCCGCCGGTCCTTTCAGCTCGGTCCGGAAAACGGACGTCCCCGTCTTTCTTTGTCCAGGTCAGCAAATCACGTCGGGGTCACCAAATTGTAAGAATACGTGTTCAAGATTTGGAGCCTGGTCGGGGTTATCAAAAATTCAGCCGAATGACTTCTCTCGTTCTGGGAAATTTATTTGTCAGATCACAGGTCAAGTATCAGCGCTGCGTTTGCAAAGGCAGGAGCAGTTCAGGCAGCACACAGGCCGGAAGAACAACTAACTAACATCAGCAAGAACATCATGTTTTATAACCCTTGAAAGACAGAGAAGGAAAGATTTCTATTGGCCCTAAACTGGCGTAGAGGAGGACCTTCCACCTCCCGCATCTAAGATCCGGTCACATCCAATGTCCAGACTCCTGACTTAACGTAAACATCGTAAACAGAGTGTGTATGTTGAATAGTGTTGGTGTGTCTCTAACCCCCCTTTGGCTGGTAAATCTTCTAGTTGACCCGCAGACCTTACATTCCTCAGCCAGGACATAAACTGACTCCCCATCCTGTCAGACTCGTGTCTGCCTGCTTGGCAGATCCTGCTTACCCCCTTACTTAACTCTTAAATCAAGACAAGACAGCAAACCCCCAACTAAGCCCATGAAAATAACTTTTGATTATCACCTTCTAACCTTCTTTCCCATCTTTACACTTACGCTTACCATTTACCGTACCGTCAAACACCTTATGTGTGTCCTTCATCAGTTTTCAACTTCCCTTGTCCGACTTAACTTACATTTGCCCATCAAGATCAACCATCTGTTGGCCCACTGAGGGCCCCAACCATTACAGTCAGTCTACCATTGCCTTGTGACTTTCCATCACAATTGGACTTGCATTTGCATTCTCAGTCGTCAGGGCTGCAGCAGCTTTCGGGGGTTTCAGCAACACTTATTGTTACCTGCGTTCTCTACCTGTGAACTCAAAACTCAACTCATGGTTTGTTAGTGACCTAGAACATTCATGTATTCCTAATGAAAATGATAGATTATCAATATATCTCATGTGTAGTTACGTGTTTGTATGGTTTGTTGATAAAATCATTACAGGATGATGGTCTGTAACAAAGTTTTCCATTCTGTACTGCTATTACTAATGTTATCCTATGATCTAAAACTTGCTTCCGTCATTAAGATGCTGTATGAGATGTACTGTGCACTGTACATCTCATATCCACACTCAACAACTTGCAGCCTATCACTAAGTTTAAGAGAAAATAACAAATTATTTACAACAAGGTCTACAGATTTGGCTCAAATCACATTATTTCCCACTCATTTAAACGTCTCCCTCTGTGCTAACTATTTACATATATTCACCCACTGGACTGTTGACCGTCTCTACGTCCCTATGGGTCGCACCTCTCTCGGAACGACTCCCTTTTGTCTTACCAGACCGGCTCCACAGACAGCGTCCTGTCCTTTGTCTCTTGCCCAAGTCCCATGGGTGTGTGTGCTAATGTGCATGCTAATGTGCATCTTCAGGTGTGCTGCTGCTGTGTGTCTGTGTGTGATGTGTTGCAGACTCTGATCAGAGTCTCTCTCAAACTCAGTAATTGTAAAAATGTTTAAACAATAAATGGGAAAATTGTGTTAATGTAAGCAGAGAACAATTACATAAGCGTTAAAACATAAAGAATCACATAGAGCCTAGAAAAAGTCCATAGACCGTTTGTAATGCAAGCAAAAATCACATGGTCCTAAGAATGGAGGAAGAAAAAATGTTAGAATCATTTGGAAATGGAGGCAGGGGAGCTACTGTTGAATGGAAATACAGAGTGGAGGTGGGAAATACAAAAACTGTGTTACATGTGTCGCCGGCTGCCATTTTGGAAATCTCCAAAGCACATGTTCTCCACCCCCAGTAGTGGTGGATGACAAGTCATTGTTATCCCCTCTGTAGACCGTGCTGAGAATATGTTTTTCAGCCATCTTTTAACCGTTTTCTCTATTTATCTCCGTCCGCCATAATGTTCCAAAAACATGTGCTCCGCGTTCCCCAACCCCAACCAATGGTGGTTCCGATCACAGCCCTTTGTTTCAAAGAACAAAGCCTTGTAGGCCCTGTTTAGGCCATGTGCTCCTTTGTCCTCACGAGTTTAGGCTACAAAACAAAAACTTCACCGGTTGTGGTCTTTTCCAATCAAAACCATACAATATACAATTATATACAAATTCGCAACGTTTTCAACTGATCTATATTTATTGTAAAAATTTATCCAGTAACTTATTATTTCCGGGTCTTGGCAGACGGCCGTGGCACTATCCTCACCATTTTCGAATTTTAATTGTAACTCCAGCCTTCAGGGTCTTGGCGCGCAGGTCCGTGACACTGTCCTCACCTGCAAGGCGAGTTATATGATGACCTATTTCTTATCTTATCTCTTATTATTTTAGGTTTTTATCCCTGCACTTAATTATCCGCAAAGTTTTAGTCAGTTCTTGGCACTACGGCGCGTGGCTCTGTCCTCATAAGTTCCATATAATAATCTTGTTATCTAGCCTCATTGGCGTCGTCTAGTTCATATTTTAATTTATTGTGCCGCCTAACAGAGTCTAAGAGAGTTTACGGAGACAACGAAGAACCGCCATTACAACGCGAACCTCTTCCACTCAATTACTGCTGGTAACATGACCCTGGTTCCGACAGGCCTTGTGGACTTAACTCTTCTAGCGCGTTCTACACAGTGCATTACGTATACTGTTGTGTTTTCTGTGGAGTTTTTAATTCATGACGTTTTGTTATTTCGGATTTACATGTGTGATCAAATGTTTACCTGCCAGAGCTATACATATAAATGCCAGTAACATATGGAGAAACTTTGAAGTAGCAGCGCAATAGTGTAGTGCCCCTTTAAGAGAGGAGTGTGCTGTGAGGACACGTGACCAGTGTTTACTGAGTGAAAAGGAAGCGCGATTCACTTAGTTGGTAACGACTTCCAACCCGGTGTGCAGCCACTTGGTAAGCTCTCTTAATTTCCAATGTTGTCTTGTCTCCTTTATAATGTACGCTTCATGTTGTCTGATGTCACCTTAATATGTTGCTGCTGTGTTTACTTTCTTTGGCTTATATGTTTAAAGTATGAAACACGGACTGGTATGTGACGTAGGTACACGGTTTGCCGTGGGGCATTTTGGGAGTTGTAGTTTCCTGCTAAGGAAAGACTGCATGCATTGTGAATGTGGTGCATAATGTTTGAATGTGTACATGCAAATAACGAAACTGATGATGGTGGATTATAGTATATTAATAATGTTTATTTGTATTTTTGAATAATGTTAAGATAAAGAACTGGGGAGCTGTGTTGGTTGTGGTGTGCACATGGAAATTGAAGCATTGCATTTCTTATTATTCCAGGTTTTTTACCTGGTTCCCCTTTTTAAGAAATAAACGAACAAATGAGGAATCTTGAGTAAAGTCCTATGTATGCCGGGTTGCCCTTTCCGTGGGGAGAAAACGGAACAGTAAAAAACCAACGGATCGGAGCACGTCAAGCTAAGTCCGCTAAGAACAGCTGGGGGACCCACAGAGGACGGCTAGTGTTATAAGGTTCCACCTCCTAGCAAGTCTCAGCGACAGGGTGAAGAGAGACTTGGTTCTGTCCAGCTGTGCGTCGGCAGATGAAATGTTCAGGCGCCTCGACAACCGCTTTGGGAACAAGGCGAAAATCGTTCTGAAGATCTCAGAAGAGGTTTAGGGCCTAACCCCTGTGAAGGGAGATAATCCTAGAAAAGCAATCGAGCTGATCCAAGCAGTGGAGCGGGCTCTTAGTAACCTTGTGATCCTGGGAGAAGAGGCGGTTCTAAGGAACCGTTGGGTAGCACAGTCACTTGAAAGCAAGCTACCAAGCTCTCTGAAGGAGAAATGGATTAAGCACAAGACCATGCCTGTGAGCAGTTTTGCTCCACATAACCACTTTGACTGCTTACTGCGCTTCCTGAAGAAGCAGGAAGCAATCCTGGAGGAGCTGGATCAGCTGGAGCCAAACCCAAGAGAAGGAAGCAAACGGTGGGATGGCCCAATCTGGTACATCAGCCATTTGGTTGCCCCAAATCCTCATTCTAGCTCTACGCCAGTGAGGATAGTCTGGAACAGTAGCCAGGAGTTTAAAGGGTTGAGCCTGAATAACCTCCTGCACAAAGGCCCTGATGTCCTCAACCCAATTCGAGGTGTCCTGCTAAGATTTAGGAGCAGACTGTATGCTGCTCTTGGCGATGTAAAGAAAATGTATAATTCTGTGTGGCTGAAGGACGAAGAGGTCCACCTCCATCGATTCCTCTGGAGGGATAACCCCGAAGATGAAATCGGTGTGTTTGCCATTGTCCGGGTCAACATCGGCGACAAGCCTGCCGGGTGCATCGCTCAGGTTGCCATGAGAGAAACGGCAAACCTGCCCCAGTTTTCATCCATGGTTGAAGAGCGCCGAATCTTGACAGAGGACTGCTATGTGGACGATGTTCTAACATCGCATAATGATCTCCAAACTCTGGTTAGGATGACCGAAGGAGTGGAAGAAATCCCAAGAGCAGGTGGCTTTTCCCTCAAGCCATGGGTCCTGACAGGCCAAAGTGGGAGGAGTGAGAAACTCACTGACCCCAGCAATGTCAGGTCAACAGAGCCCAAGACCCTGATACTACCCAACCAGATGCGGGACGAGGAGAATAAGGCATTGGGATTGGGATATGAACCCGAATCTGACAAACTCTGTGTGCTGACGTCTGTGAACTTCTCAAGGAGACGAGGAAAGATGAGGACCTGTCTGGATCTACGAGAGGATGAGGTCAGAGGCGGCACCCCCAACCCTCTCACTCAACGCATGCTGCTGAGTCAGATCGCATGACCCCATCGGCCTGGCCTCACCCGCCAAGCAACGAGGAGTGATGCTCGTAAGAGAATCCTTTCAGGAAGCAGGAAGAGACCATCAGTCCAAGGACATCTGGGACGACCCTCTTTCACCACGTCTTCGAGAAGCTGCAATAAAACTTTTTGAGCAGAATGTGAGACTTGGCCAACTCAGATTCAACAGGAGTCTCACACCTCATGGAGCCATAGGGCGCCCAATGGGAATCACATTTTCCGATGGTAGTGAAGCTTCCTACGGCGCCGTTCTTTATCTACGGTGGGAGACAGAAGATGCAGTCGCAGTTAAGCTGGTTGAATCAAAGGGCAAGCTCACTCCTCTAGACCAGAAAGATGATGTCATTAAAGCAGAACTCTGCGGGGCTGTCTTTGCATCCCGCCTGAAGACATACTTCGAGAAGCACTGCTACATTAAGGTCGATCAGTGGATTTTACGCACGCCTCGTGGAGGAGGGAACGCAACGACCCGCCGCTCGTTATCTCAATGTGGTAATGGGGAAAGAGGTGTGGTGCGTGTAGGTACACGGACGACCAGAACACATATAACCCGTAAAAAGGGAATGTTTATTAATATATATATATATATATATACGGGTTGCTTGGGAAAAAGGGGCTGGGCGGAACCAAAACAATGAACAAAACAAAATAGTCCCTCTTGCCTATCTGACCTGAAACACCCCCCCCTAACCTAGCTTGAGCACTAGCAAGGCTCACTAACCAAATACAGGGGGTGGTCCGCCCAGGTCTTGCCTAGTGTTTCTAGACAGGAGGATGACTACGGGTGGTGTAGACCCATGGGCAGCTTGCCTACGCACTCCCAAGGTGCTTCCCCTTTTCCCTGGGAACAAAAGACAAAAAAAACAGGATTAAACACAAATGAGAAGAGCGCTTTCACAAGCACACAGAACAAGATTTAACAGAGACTCCAAGTCACTCTCTGCTCTACAACCCACACCCAACGAGCGAGAGCTTCATAACCAAAATGGCACCACTTTATGTGTTGCGAGGGAAGGAGTCCAGGTGCAGCCACTGACGAGTGGGTGGGGCCAGATCTCCAGTCTGGGGACTGCTGCTCCTGGAATCAATCACCTGTCAAGACACAAAACAAAACCACCAAACACAGAAAACTGGGGAACGTAACAATTTTGTTGACAGTCAGACAATTTTGGGAGCTATCCAGAAGGATAGCTATGGCTATCAGACATTTTTTGCAAACCGGATTGGAGAAATCCAAAAGGCTGGATCAGTAGATGGCTGGAGGTGGGTCGAAGGTAGACTGAATATCGCCGACCTCATCACAAGGGGGGCATCCCCGGAGGAGCTTGCTGAAGGATCTGTCTGGCAGGAAGGCCCAGAATTTTTGAAGTTGCCTGAGTCAGAATGGCCGGTGAAAACTGCCAGAGAGATCAATCCCTCGGTTGCTGAGATCGGGGGACTTCGGAGGAAGGCATTCACGGGACTGGTCACAGTAGGAGCCCAGCCCAGGAAAGGGTCAGGCCCAACCAGTGTTGCACTTGTACGCCTTGTGGACCCCCAGCGGTTCAGCTCACTTGCACGGTTGTGTGGGACCATCGCCTGGGTGAGACAAGCAGTAGGAATCTGGCTGGGTAACAGCCAGGCTCCAGTTCGGTCAAAGTGGGAGGCAAGACCATGCCTGTCTGTGGAAGAACGAGCAACAGCTTTCAAAGATCTAGCTCTCGAAGCTCAGGGTGGGGTTGAGTTCCGTGACGCAACCCTGGATCGCCTGGTTGTCCAGAAAGAGGAAAAAACAGGACTCTTGCTCTGCGGAGGGAGAATCCAATGCTGGGATGAAGATCGAGTGGCTGTACCGCTGATCCCATGCCAGTCGTGGCTTGCAACCCTACTGGCCAGGGAGGCACATGAAGAAAACCATGAAGGTGTTGCCTCTACCCTTCTACGGACAAGGAGGAAAGCCTGGATCATGCAGGGACGGAGAACAGTTAAGAAGGTGCTGAACAACTGTGTCACCTGCAGAAAGAAACGAGCAAAGACGTGCCAGCAAGTAATGAGCGTACCAGCAGAGCAAGCCCGTTCGAAAATGCGACCCTCGACCTTTTTGGCCCCTTCGAGGTGAAAGACGCGGTTAAAAGAAGGACCAGCAAGAAGGTCTGGGGCATTGTTTTCTGTTGTATGGCCTCGAGAGCCGTCCATGCGGACCTCACCGATGACCAGTCGGCAGAAAGTTTCCTCCAAGCATACTCCCGCTTTGTTGCTCTGAGGGGGCATCCAGGAAAACTATGGTCCGACAGAGGCACCAACTTTATTGGGGCCAAGTCGGCTCTGCATGAGCTGCATAAACATCTGGCTTGCTTGCAGGCTGCGTCTATAGAAGATGTAGCTGCTAAGAACGGGACTGAATGGAAGTGGGATTTTCACCATGCAGATGCACCCCACAGGAATGGAGCTGCGGAGGCAGCTGTGAAGCTTTTAAAGAAGGCGCTGATAAGCCTAGGAGGAACTACAGGGTCACTCACATTGGGGGAGCTCCAAACTCTGTTCTATCAGGCAGCCAACCTGACAAACGAACGCCCAATTGATGCCAGAGCTCAAGAACAGGAGGACTCTGTTGAGTACTTAACACCCAACTCCCTCAAACTGGGTCGAGCATCGCTTGGAGGAGACACCAGCGGGCTTGACCTAGACACTCATCCCTGGCGTCGTCTGAGGGCTATTCAAATCGGAGTTGACCGGTTCTGGGCAAAGTGGAGGGAACTAGCAGGCCCAAATCTGTTCATTCGACACAAGTGGCACCGGACGGAGAGGAACGTCAAAGTCGGCGACCTCGTCTGGATTGCTGACCCAAATGCTTTGAGAGGACAGATTCGCCTGGGCCGGATTCTGACAGTTTATCCTGACAGTAAAGGGATTGTTAGGGACGCTGACATTGCAACGTGCGCTGGAATTCCTGTATCCCTGGCGGGTGGCCAAAAGAAGAGGAGTTCTTCGCTGCCCATGACGGTTATCAGGAGAGACGTGAGAAGACTGGTGGTCCTTCTTCCAGTGGAGGACAAAACTCATCCACCCAAACCGCCATGACATCGGCATCGTCCCAAACCCCTCTCATTCACCGGCCAAGCCCCTGTCACCCTGTTACCATCTTAGCCCTGTTGGCTGCGTGGTGCAAGCCTAGCGCTGCCACCAGGCCAATTACATTGCACACACAGGAAGAAGAGCACTCACATTCCACACCTCGCATACCCGGGCAGTACACTGCATACCTGCCAAAGGGATGTAATTGACTTGGACAGTGGACTAAACTGGTCCCCCGTCAGTCGTGCCTTCATCGGACGCTTACACATAGACATTGTGCACATTTAAGGGTTCTAAAAAATAAATAAAAAAAAGAGGTCTTTTAAGTGAGTTAGTAAGTTCCCTGGATCATAAGATCAGGAACTTAAGTGGGAGGTGTTGTGTTTTCTGTGGAGTTTTTAATTCATGACGTTTTGTTATTTCGGATTTACATGTGTGATCAAATGTTTACCTGCCAGAGCTATACATATAAATGCCAGTAACATATGGAGAAACTTTGAGGTAGCAGCGCAATAGTGTAGTGCCCCTTTAAGAGAGGAGTGTGCTGTGAGGACACGTGACCAGTGTTTACTGAGTGAAAAAAGGAAGCGCGATTCACTTAGTTGGTAACGACTTCCAACCCGGTGTGCAGCCACTTGGTAAGCTCTCTTAATTTCCAATGTTGTCTTGTCTCCTTTATAATGTACGCTTCATGTTGTCTGATGTCACCTTAATATGTTGCTGCTGTTTACTTTCTTTGGCTTATATGTTTAAAGTATGAAACACGGACTGTGACGTAGGTACTTCCTGGTTTGCCGTGGGGCATTTTGGGAGTTGTCGTTTCCTGCTAAGGAAAGACTGCATGCATTGTGAATGTGGTGCATAATGTTTGAATGTGTACATGCAAATAACGAAACTGACGATGATGGATTATAGTATATTAATAATGTTTATTTGTATTTTTGAATAATGTTATTAAGATAAAGAACTGGGGAGCTGTGTTGGTTGTGGTGTGCACATGGAAATTGAAGCGTTGCATTTCTTATTATTCCAGGTTTTTTACCTGGTTCCCCTTTTTAAGAAATAAACGAACAAATTAGGAATCTTGAGTAAAGTCCTATGTATGCCGGGTTGCCCTTTCCATGGGGAGAAAACGGAACATATACAGTCTATAAATTGCTATACGTTTATCCCCAACCGGTTAGAGGCCTATACTAGGTTTCCATTCATTCCTTCTATGACTGATCAGTTAAATAACGTCGCCCATTCACTTAACGTTAACGCTACACAACCGAGCTTTGTCGGTAACACACACAGAGACGTCCAAACAAACACTATATACAATGTGGTTTTTATCACAACGGCCATTCAAGCTAAGAGAAAACATTTTTTTTCTCTAAAATTCAGTTTACCTCAAAACATCGTATCTTGTCCACTCACACCTAAATGTTCTATGATAAACTATACAGCATTTCGGTTTTAAAACAAATGGTTGCCGGTTACCTTTTTGATGGCGCTGTGTGAGTGAAGAAAATCGATCGCTGGGCTTTGTTCAGATCAGCTGTTCCTCCGTCCGTCCATTGCTCTCCATCACGTCGGGGTCACCAAATTGTTGTGTTCAAAAATGAAGAAACGCCGGACGGACAGAGGTCATCGCTGATCAAAAGGTTAAATCAAATGTATTTAATAAAAGAGATGGCGTTGTGTTAAAAAGAACATCTCAGCTGAGGAGCCGCTGGTCTCAGCAACCAACAGGCCCCAGGTCAGTCCTTTGACCATCCCTAGTGCCCGTCTGTAGCCTCCACCAGCGAACTCGAGAACAATGGTTCCTACAGGTATTTATAACAATGCTTAAAGGTGGGAAAGTTAGTTTCCACACCTCTGGGAGTGGTCTTCTGGTGAGTTCAATTTAACTCGGATTTCGAATGATCCTTAGTCAATATCAGTGGTTGTGCAAGTATTACATGCATGCATTCCAGTTACATCAAATTATTATTACATCAAATACAATCATAACTGCATTGGTATTATTCTATTACAGTTGCAGATTTACAGTGGTTTTACAATATTGTCATTACTTTATTGATTACTGTACACAGTTTCAGAATCATGGTTGTATTCTGGTGTACACTATATGCATTTTATTCATTTATGAACCGGATCGTCAATTTGTTTCTAATATCCTACAATACCAAATGTAAAGCCATGGGTTTAAAGTGTAATGTAAGTTGCTTTGGATAAAAGCGTCAGCTAAATGACCTGTAATGTAATGTAATATGCGCCTATGTCATTTTAAACTTCTTGTCTTTGAGGCTCTATATGAGACTTTTAAAACGAATTTCAGCTGTTTTTCACTTTCTCTGCGCAGTCGAATAAATGGGCCGTGGTGCGCATGCACATAATCTTTTTTACCTTGTCACCTTTCGGCGAAATTTGCCGTTTTGAAATCAAAATCTGCCATCCACGTCGTTCGTGAAGATCCAAAGAGTTTTGTTTTTTGGGGGGGGTCATCTGGCCGGGCAGCGTTTCTGAGATCGGAGTGAGACACCGAGAAAAGTTGATGTCGTGAGTGATCTTCGCAAATAAAACATCTTTGTGTCGAGTCTTGGCCAATCAGCGTTGTCTACAGCGTCTACGTTTCCCTCCAACTTTTCATTCCTTCGCTTGCAGGTCTGGCCTCTACACAGTCGGTCACGTGACTGCTCCCAGCGGAATACCGTTGCTCTACGTATTCGCTCATGCCTGCATGAACCCACATAGAAAAGAAATGGCATAGTACCATTCGTATACAATTATAAATAATATGTTTTACAGTTGACTGAGTTTCACTTTTCTGAAAGCTTTGTCTGTGACCCTTTTAGTATTTTGCATAAAAACAGTTGTTGTGGAAGCAGGAGCTGATTAAACTAATATAAATCCTGTTTTTGAAAAAAAAGAAAAGGAAATAGCAGAACCATTGTGAAAATGGACGAGTCCTTTGATCTACTTAAGTGCAACGAGGACCTACCTTCCTCACCCGGGTGCCACATGGATTATGGTAAAACCCCTCACGTTTGATATATAAGTAAATTAGCTATTCCTCGCACTAATGATCATATTATTTTTGACTTCTCCCTAGGTGGAGGAGGACCAGAGGTTTCCAGGGTTTTTTCAGGTCCGAGCAGGGGTGTCCCACCAGGAGCTGAGCTGCTCCCCAAGCACCAACTGGCTCACCGAGCTGGCCAACATTGCCACCAGCCCTCAGAGCTCCCTGCTGAAGAGCGCCCCACATAGGAGGTTTGCACCAAGACCAACTAACGTGAAAAGAAACAAAGACGAGATGAGTTCATATAAGGAAATAGACTCAAAGAGGAGTTGACAGCCCCGATGGCACTCTAGCATGTATTCCAGGTTGCAGGGTGGGCAAGTTTGGTGTGATAAAATATCTTCTGAAATCATTATTATTTTTACAGTTATTAAAAAGAATGGCTAATTGTATGTACCTCATAAATATCACTCATATGTTGCTCAACAACTTGATGTTTCCCCAATTAACATTAATATGAACCATGATATACATTCTTGACTATTTCTTTTTTCAGATCCTCTCTGGTCCACATCTTTGGCAACAGTAATAGTTTACATTCTTACGCCCGTCCCCCATTAGCCAGCAGTGCTCCCATCCCGTCCAGAGGCCATTTCAGGGAGCGCAGGCGTGTCCGGGTAACTTTTTCATTTACAGCCCAAACCTTTTAAAACCAAATAACCATGCATTCCTTTAGACTCAATGACTATTTCCTGGTAAATTCTGTGTAGTGGAGTTATTTGTTTTAGGGATTTCATTGTGAAGTGTTAGTTTATTGCTTGCAACAGGCCAGCAGTGAATCCGAGTCTGGAGTTTTCTCTATGTCCTCATCTTTTTCTGATGATGAAGATATGGTCTGGTCTCACTCTTGGCCCTCCGCAGCGTGGCATTACTTCCTTAAAGGCATGTAAATACACATTCATGTACATATAGTATGTGTGCACCAGGCATTTCCACCTACTCACACACACATAGAGCTGAAAACTCATCTTTTTGAAGAATATCCTGAAGAAAACATGGTCTTGAAAATGAGGTCTCATAGCTTAGAGGCAGAATATAAAGTCACTAAACAACTTTTGTGAAATATTAGAAATAGAGCGGTTTTAAATTGGTCCACTTCTGATAATTTCACTTGACCGATGGGTGCTGATGCTACTCTTTTGTTTTAAATTATCTTTCTTTCATAACCAGGTTGAGCCTGAGTTACAAATATTTGGAAATACCTTCTGACCTCTGGAGTCCAAAGGCAGTATTGCATCCAAGTGCATTCCTCTTAAGTATCAACACCCATCTATGGAATGCCGTTTTAGTCAAAATTAAATAATACATAAATGAATAAATACATTAAATATGCATTTGAAATACATCATGAAATAAATAAATGAGGCAATAAATACATAAATATTAAATACATTTAATTATTTCATGGTACTTTTATTTCATAATGTCACTTTTCATTTCATGGAACTTTTATTTCATAATGCCACATTTCATTTCCAGAGACTTTTATTTCATAATGCCGTTTTACATTTCACGTTCTTATATGCAAATCAGGGGGCGTGGCTACATCTCACATTCAGAACAGACAACAGAGCCGTGTGCAAAAGAAGGCTGGCTAAGGGACGTGAGTGCCCAGTGAGCACAAGACGTAATTTCAACGTTGAAATATGATTGAAATCGGATTTAAATGAGGTCTGAACGTCTAAGACCTCATTTCAACGCATTTTCAACCGGCTAAAAATGGGATGAAACATCAACGTGCCAGAAAACGTCAATTTGTTGATGAATGTGTCATGTTGTAACATAAGGTTGAAAGAGAGATATTAACATTGACATTTACATAATAATGAACTGGTCGGCGACGTGATTTCAACCTATTTAATATTTTACTTAAAACGCCATGAATATGAAACTACGGACTGCGTGCTGTTAATAAGATGCGTTTAAGACATAATAATGCGGGCAGGTTCAAACATTACTTGTAAACACGTAAGTCCGCTGACGTCTGTAACGCGCATGCGCGAGTTCTTAGACGCCTGCAGAGCTCCGAGCGGACGCAGCACGAGGCGAAGTTACGGCAGCAGCGCGACATGAACGGGCTGATAGAACCACGACTACCGGCTCCAATGCTCTGTAAGTACGGGAGTGTTTGGATGAAGCACACCTGGAACTATAACCGGGTGTTTTACTTCTGCTGCCGACTCGATACAGGAAAGACGGCCCTTTTTGTTAAGCTAGTTAGCGTTAGCGCAGGTAGTTTGCTAGTTAGCATGCTAGCTTGGAGCATGCTAGCGTGCAGCATGATGGACCAAAAGTAAATATCCCAGAATATTTGTTGTGTGTTTGGTGTTGCTAATGCGTTAGATTGTTGCTGTACCCATAAATATTATTGCATTTCACATTGAAAATACGTTTTTAAAGCAATGGGGGCTAAATACAGATTGCAAGGGTGAAGGGCTGAATTCAACAAGTTGTGCTCTGTAAACAAGAGGGCCAACACATTGTAAGTTACTGCTGCTTAAAGCATGATACTGTGTAATATACCTGGAAATGTTACTCCAGAAATACCATAAGTTGCAGATGAATTGTTATCTTGTTTATAATGTAATAAGTAAACAATCTATAAATGAGGGTTATAACACACCTGCTGCTGTTATTATTATTAGTTTATTACTGTCATCATAAACCCCAATGACCAACTTTGCCTTTGTGCTTTCCCTCCTCACAGGTTTCTGTGGGTGGTGGTTGCATCTGATGGAGGTTACGTCTGATGATGGTTGTCCCTGCACTGGTCCTGCCTTACCCCTGGCTTAGTAATCCACAACATTTGAATCATTTCTGTTGTAGGAATTGGATGCACTGTACATCTTTTAAGTTGTTCATACTCTACACACCTTCTTCCCTGCTGTTTTCCCCTTAGGTTTCTCCCGTTTTTTTACATTTTGGGAACAGTGTGTTTGCTTGTTTACAGATTGCAAAGCTGAACAAAATAAAATGATTTGAATTGAATAAACATGTTGACCAGAGGAATCTGCAATTGAGGGCTGTTCTCTGCACTCTGACTCCCTTTACACAAAGAATCCTCAAGTGAGGATGAGGGAGACGCAGCTGATTTCAGGTATACTATCCCAACTCAAGTGACTCACCGGCACATCTTGTTACAGAATCTAAAAATGAAGTTCCAATGGTTCAGAAAATTGGTCTACTAACACAAAATTGTTGTTGTAGAACACAGAAATGTTGTTTCTGCACTTTTAATTTCATGGTTTATTTCCCTGAAATATATATTTTTATTTCTGTATTGTTTTGTTGTTGTTGTAGCAAAAGTGTTATATGTATAGTGCCATAGTTATAATAAATGCAAATTAATAAAATAATGTCTTTGTTAAGGGCTGTTAACATGACAACTGTGACTAAGTATGTAACTTGTAAGTTTCCAGCAGGCAATTTATCCGTTGAAACAATGTTTAAAAGACGTCTATGGCTCGACGTTGAAAACACGTTGCAAATTGGTTTAAAAGTGAAAGTTGTTTAAACGTCTATTCGTAGATGTTGAAAAGACGTTCACGTATAGACCCGTTTTCAACGTGATTTATAATATCGGTGGTAAACTTACAAATGTGGACGTAGTTTCTTTTTAACCTCTAAAATAATGATATAGCACACAAGAGAAGACGAAATATTACCGTATGAAAAAATCACGTTGAAATGTGGTCTAAACATAGACGTCTTTTCAACGTCTACGAATAGACGTTAAAACAACTTTCACTTTTAAACCATTTTGCAACAACGTTCAACGTCGAGCATAGACGTCTTTTAAACGTCTTTTCAACCAAAAAATGCTCACTGGGTGTTGACATAATGGAAGACATCGGTGGGCTCCGAGGTAGCATGCTAGCATTAGCAAATCAAATCGACCAACATGGGTTTTCTGCAGATACGATTTTGACACATATTGAGGGTTTTTGGGAAATACTATGGCGGATAAGTGCTCTTCAAGATGTAAACATAGACAACGAAGTTTTAAATAGTTTAAGACTGATTGAGCACCGCGTGCGTGTGGAAGAGGTCCAAGTTGATGAAGTCAACATTAGCGCTGGTACTACAAGCACAGGTGCTGGACGCCCGCCTCTGATTATTCCTGGCGACAAGCTGGCTAACTTTGTGTTGTCCGGTCTATCAACCCGAGAAATCGCGGATCTGTTGGGTGTGTCATCCAGCACGATTCAGAGGAGATTGGTCGAAGAAGGCCTACTCTTTAGCTCAACTTACTTATTGAGCTAAAGAGTAGGCTACGGTGGGCAAAAACATATAATACTGGCGCTTTTTGGCCCCCTTTACGGGCTGTGGATCCTGGACTATATACTTTCCCATATATTCTAAAACCTTTAAACATCCCTAAATATTTGCACAAACTGCACAGATCCATGCCATACAGCAGTGGTTCCCAACCGTTTTTCCTTGGCGCCCCCCTACTTTTGTATAAAAAAAGCTGCTCCTCAGCAGGGCAGCACCCCATAACAGCCGGACTCATGGAATTTCCCCTTGCGGGATTAATAAAGTATAAATTATTTATTATTATTATAAATACTGGCTACTACCACAGCCCGTAAAGGAGGCCAAAAAGCGCCAGTATTATAAATGTCTTTGACACTTTCAGAAGGTACACTGCTGTAGCTGAGGAAATCTTTCTCTCTGTAATGAAGCGACTTAAACTTACTATGTATTATTTTATGTTAGAATTTTCTCAAAAGGCAATGTCGCTTGTTGTAATGATCCAACTCTGCAGTCTCCTCAGCGTTACTAAATATAGAGCATTTTAGATCTGTAGGGTCGGGAACATCTGTTTTGATTATAGACAAAGATGCAGCACAACGTTTTAGATTTGACATATTCTTGATTCTTGAAAGTGACAGGACCACTATTTGTAACAAACAGCAAATGTGTACACACTGCAAGAAATGCTGCAAATGAAATGCAACATATACAAAACAAATATAATAGAATATCTCTTCTACTTCTGTCTTTTTGCAGTTATGACTTCACCCCACTCGACTCCTCAGCCGTGTATGTTCTCAGCAGCATGGCCCTTCAGCGCAAGACCTCCCTGTCCAACAGGGGGGCTGTCAGTCTGGACTGTGATAAACTTGAGCGCTCCGCTTCCCCACAATCCTCTACTGGCAAATCAAACAGGAGCCTACTAAATGTAAGCGGCCGATGAACGCCTTCATGCTCTTCGCCAAGAAGTACAGAATAGAGTACACACAGATGTGCCCCGGGAAGGACAACAGGTACGTAACACTCGATGAGATCCAGTGCACTCAATCACACTGCGACACTGCAGTGTTTGTGTGAACCGAAGGGACCTCGGACAATTGATTCGAGCACACACCTTCGAAGGAGAGGGAGGTGTGATGTGAGGGGGGGGGGGGGGGGGGGGCAGTTTGACATTGTATCTGATTTGATGTTGTTGTCACCATAATGTGACTTTTAAAATATATTTTTATGACATACTATACAATGCCATTTTTAACATTTTCTTTTATGGCATAGCATATATTTATACATTTTTTAGCAATTTTCATCAGATGTTTTTTGAGACAAACTAACATGGAATTTGTATGCAATGTTTATGGCATACTATACAAAAACTACTGTTACAACTACGCTATGACAACCTTTTTGCCATATGATATAGGCTAGATTCTAAACATTGTTTCAGGCGCTTTGACCGCATGTACACTATTACATTTGTATGACTTTCGTATGTTACATTTTTATTGACTAATACCTTATGACGCACTATGACGAAGTGGGCATGACCATTTTTTGCCTCTTACCTTGCACTCAAGAGCCATAAGTGTCATTCTGGGTGACAAGTGGAAGAAGATGAAGAATGAGGAGAGGAAGCTGTACACCATAAAGGCCAAGGCTCTAGCTGAGGAGCAGAAACGACTCAATCCAGACTGCTGGAAACTCAAAAGAACCAACTCGGTAAGTAACTGAATCGCTGTACTATAACATCCAGTAGCTTTTCTTCCATAACATCTTTATTGCATGTTGGGTTATGTTTACCCAGTCTTTAATTGTGTGTCCACCCTACTGTAGACATCTAATGTCGTCCTTCAACAGGGCTCCCAGCTGATCTAGATGATCTCCCAGAAACCCGTCTGTTGGTTGTTTTGACATAGAGAAGTGCTGGACAGAATCTGATGGACCGCTTGATGCCTCTTTGCTCTCCCGTATTCCTGAGACTAAACTTCAATGCTGAATTCATTGTTTATGTACCTTGAAACATTATTAAAGACACCATAGAATTATGAACTATAACCAAAAATGTAATCTAGTCACTAACAGTGCAAATATTTTCTTATATCTTAAGTCTTATTCCCCTGAAAAGGGAGTGAACTTTCTCATTTTTTACAGGTGATTTCATATTCAAGGTTGAAAAAGGAGCGCATGTAGGAGGAGCATGAAACAACATGTGTCTGTTTTTAATTGTAAAAAGTGGATTTTTTTATGACTTTTTGATTACTGTTCAAATGATTCCGCAGCACTAAGTAGTAACCGTTTTCATACACTTTGTAATACAATACATATTTTGCAGCTCAACTATTTTGTGATGCTGCCCTGCCAGGTTTTTTACATTTTGGCCCAACCAGCTGGCCATACGTTGAGTGCTTTCAGCATGTGTTGGCGGGTTCATACTTAGTCACAGAGCACTTCAGGCCTTTGCTTTAAGTGTTTATTTCTTCCTCACTTTATATGAATATACACTCACCTAAAGGATTATTAGGAACACCATACTAATACTGTGTTTGACCCCCTTTTGCCTTCAGAACTGCCTTAATTCTACGTGGCATTGATTCAACAAGGTACTGAAAGCGTTCTTTAGATATTGATAGGATAGCATCTTGCAGTTGATGGAGATTTGTGGGATGCACATCCAGGGCACGAAGCTCCCGTTCCACCTCATCCCAAAGATGCTCTATTGGGTTGAGATCTGGTGACTGTGGGGGCCATTTTAGTACAGTGAACTCATTGTCATGTTCAAGAAACTAATTTGAAATGATTCGAGCTTTGTGACATGCAGTGTTAATTTCTTCGACGAAAACAATGACGAAAAATGTTTGTTAACGACCTTTTTTCCATGACTTAGACGAGACTAAGACGTGACGAAAACAATCTTAAAAAATAAAAACTATGACTAAATCTATTCTAACTTTCATTAACGAGACAAGACGAAAATGTTGGTGGTTGAAGTCACGATACTTTTTTCCCCCTAAATTCGCACGCACCCAACAGACAACAGACAGGCAAAGTACGGCCCCGTACGGCGGGTATTAACGCGTCATGATGACGTCATCCACAAACCCAGAACGCTTGCACACAGCGGTGCAGCGGTGGTTCTTGTGCACCGACTACAGACCGCAACGACTATTATTAGTTTGAATGTGGCTTCGTTAGTTTAGCTCAGCTGTCTCGGTTTAGCTGACTGTCACAGAAACATGAAGACCTGTTTAACAGACTGTCGGACCTTTCTGCTCTGTTCTCTGGCGACGGCAGGCAGCGTTTCCTCGGGTGGATGAGACGCTCCGTTGCAGGCTTCTCCAAACACGTCTAACGTAATACAGGACGTTAAGGAGTCTCTTTTGTTGGGACAACCAATTTCACAGTGGAAACAATAAAGGACCATCAAGTTTCCGGTGACCATGTCAAAAGCATTGCAAGTAAACAGACAAAGACAACAAAGTGTTGCGTTTAGATCCCTGGTCCGCATGAAGTTGACTTTACAGATTTGCCAATTTGTTAAATTGCCTTGCAAATAAATGCTTTGCTATTTGTTAAAATCCAAATCCTTTCATGTAATGATTTTTCACATGTCATTTATAGTCGCTCACACAAACAACCATTTGTTCTTGGCTCGGCTCCTCTGTCACATTTTACAACCCATTGTGGCCCGCGAGTCAAAAAGTTTGCCGACCGCTGCTATAGACCTGTCCTATGAGGGACATCTAATGGACAACCAAGTACTTCAAGCTTGACTATTATGCAGCTGTAGACACAACACGGGGTCCCTGGGCCTGAGAAGGGAAGAAAAGGAGTTTAATATGGATATTAAATGTGACTAAAACTAATTACATTTTAGTCTAGTTTTCGTCGACTAAAACTAAGAAGGATTAAAATGACTAAATGTGACTAAAACTAGGGATGGGAATCGAGAACCGGTTCTTTTTTAGAACCGGTTCCTAGTGAACCGATTGTTTGGAATCGTCAGCCAAATTCTGCTAACGGTCCTCTGTGGCGTTGCGCGTGCGTGAACTTTTTTAGTTCAGACTGCAGCAAACATGGCAACTAGGCAGAAGCGTTCTAAAGTTTGGCTCTATTTCACACGACAAAATGACGCCTACGCCACTTGTAACCTGTGTAAAAAATCTATTTTGTCGAAGGGAGGAAATAATAATGATATTAAGTATAACACACAGCATGGAATTAAATTACAGGAATGTCATGTCTTCGATGCATGCAGCAGCTCAGCTAACGTCGGCGCTTCATCTCTTTCTGTCCAAGGTAAACTCCTCAAAAGTGATCACAACCACTCACTGTGTGAAGCAATTTGCCTTTATTGTGTGTAGTCGATCAAGTTATCTCTGTCCCTTCGTTTGAAGCATACATTATTGATCACTTCACGTTTGGATTGAAAGTCCAGTTTTGAGAAATGTTTGATCGTAATGGTGTTAATTATCGTAGGGCGTGTGTTATCAGCAAACGTTCGCGTTATCGTGTTAACCCATTATTAAACTGAGCATATCGATTTTTAATCCATTATTAAACTTGGCATATAGCTACGATAGCTTAGCTATAGAATCATCCATTTTCAGCCACCTACATTGAGGCAGAGGTAGTGTTTGCTTCCTCTCCTAATGTGGCTTTATGTCAGCTCAGCAAATTCAGCGATTTTGTTAGTGCCATTTGTGTCATTGTGTAAACCAGCTTTCACTATATAAATAATCTCCATTTCCATCCAATTTAGCTGATGACGTTCAGAGTGAGAGCGGTTCAGAGGCTGGTAGTCTGTCTGGGTCACAGCCACAGGCTACAGCTAGCACGTCCAGAGAGATTGCGTATCCTCCCGGAGAAAGCAGACATGCTTATTTTTTAAGAATTGTTGATGATCCATACAATTGGTGGTTGCACACTTGGTATTTGCCACTGCTAGCCTAATTTTTGGCAGCTCAGTTCACATACCCTTTTAAAAAAAGGAAGGAGCACTGTAATTTCTAGGAACATCTTTAAATTAAACAGAATACATTTTATTTAAGTTATGTAAGTTTTATTTTAAGTTCAAGAGGAATATGTATAAATGTTTTTGGTAATTTAATTTTTTTAAATGTGTATGTATACATACTGTATATGGTGTGTGCAGCATTATAGAAAATTATAGAAAAGAAAATTAATGAAAATAAACCCGTTTGTGCTCTTTTATTCACCCCTTGCCCAATAAGAATCTATAAAAGAATCGATAAGGAATCAAATCGATAAGCAGGAATCGATAAGGCATCGGAATCGTTAAAATCAATTCTCATTCCTAACTAAAACTAATATGCATTTTCGTCTAAAGACAAAGACTAAATCAAAAATAGCTGCCAAAATTAACACTGGTGACATGGTGCATTATCCTGCTGGAAGTAGCCATCAGAGGATGGGTACATGGTGGCCATAAAGGGATGGACATGGTCAGAAACAGTGCTCAGGTAGGCCGTGGCATTTAAACAATGCCCAATTGGCACTAAGGGGCCTAAAGTGTGCCAAGAAAACATCCCCCACACCATTACACCACCACCAGCCTGCACAGTGGTAACAAGGCATGATGGATCCGTGTTCTCATTCTGTTTATGCCAAATTCTGACTCTACCAAGGGCCGGTGAGCTCAGATGGTGAGAGTATGGTGCTAATAACGCCAAGGTCATGGGTTCGATCCCCATACTGTCCAAATACATCTAAAGTAGTAAACACAACATCCAACTTTTGGGTCGTCGTGGCGCAGGGGTAGAGAGGGTGCACCGCAAGGTTGGTGTTTCGAGCCTCGGCTGCCCCATGTCAAAGTGTCCCTGAGCAAAACACCTAACCCCTAATTGCTCCCTGGGCAAAAATGAAAAAAGCCATGGGTTAAAAATGCAATGTAAATCTCTTTGGATACAAGTGTCAGCTAAATGACCTGTAATGTAATGTAATGAATGTCTCAACAGAAATTGAGACTCATCAGACCAGGCAACATTTTTCCAGTCTTCAACTGTGCAATTTTGGTGAGCTTTTGCAAATTGTAGCCTCTTTTTCCTAGTTATAGTGGAGATGAGTGGTACCCGGTGTGGTCTTCTGCTGTTGTAGCCCATCCGCCTCAAGGTGGTGTGAAATACTCAGACCGCCCCGTCTGGCACCAACAACCATGCCATGTTCCAAATTGCTTAAATCACCTTTCTTTCCCATTCTGACATTAAGTTTGGAGTTCAGGAGATTGTCTTGACCAGGACCACACCCCTGAATGCATTGAAGCAACTGCCATGTGATTGGATAATTGCATTAATGAGAAATTGAACAGGTGTTCCAAATAATCTTTTAGGTGTATAATCTCCTATACAGTAATTATAGAATTGTGGAAACCATTTGTATAATACAGCTGGCATCTTGACAGTAAAGCCTAGTTTATGCTTCTGCGTCTTCAGAGAAACGCAAGGACACGCAGATGCAATAGGCCCTTGCGTGCCTTTTCACACCTCCTTGCGTGCTTGCGTGCGTCGACCCGTTTCTTGTTTGCTTCAAAAGCTACGATTGTTCTGCTAAATACATCCTTTCCGAAGTCTCACATTTCCGTTTTTATATTACAATGCCGCTATTATTAAAACGAAGAATGTTTACGAGAAAACAGAACAGATTGAAGAGCTTTTGTCAGAAAAAATGCGTAAATGTGACCACTTCTACAAGCCGTCATTGGCGGACTATATGGACGCGCGGATGTCCTCCGATTCATGGAGGGAGATCTCCACAAATGTCGGTTTGCCAGTCGAGGGGTGTACTTGTGGAGGTTGTGGAGGAAAATACGGGACAAATGTGTCCGCGATGAAATGCAGCAATGCGATGCACGGGGCATTAAAGTCTATAATAAATAAATAAACAAACCAACGACTTCAACACACAAAGACGTGACTCTATGTCGTCTTCAGCAAAACACGTTACTCCACCTATTGTTTTGGCGGTGCGTCAACCCAACAGTGTCTAAAAGACGCAGAAGCATGCGCCAGCCTTAAGACATTTGACACAATCGG